CCTCATCCGCCTAGTTGTCCTCGTTGTTCTTCTCGTCCTTCTCCCTCCTCAGACTCCTCGCCCTCGTCGTCGCCCCCCCATCCCTCGATGTCCCCGCCCTCCTCCGCCTCCCGCCCTCTGCAAGCTCCGCCTGCCTGCTCTTGCCGCTCCTCCTCGGCGGGCTCCTCCCGCCCCCGGTGCGCCGGAGGTGTTCCGTGTCGCGAGCGGGAGCAACATCACGGCCCTGGGCCAGCTGGTGCGCCGCGCTCCGCCGCTGCACCCTGCGAGAACCCCGTGGGAGGGAGGGAGCAGGCGGAGGAGGAGGAGGCGGAGGGGGAGGAGGAGGAGGAGGAGGAGGAGGAGGAGGAGGAGGAGGAGGATGGGAGGAGGTGGAGGAGGAGGAGGAGGAGGAGGAGGAGGAGGAGGAGGAGGGGAGGAGGAGGAGGAGGAGGAGGAGGAGGAGGAGGAGGAGGAGAGGAGGAGCGCAGGCTGCTGAGGCCGCAGAGCGGGAGCACGGCGGGCCCCCCCTCCGAGGGGCAAGCCCGCCTTTTGGGGCCTCTTGGGGGCCTCCGGGAGCGTCTTGCCTCCTGGGAGGCCTCGTGGGTTCGGCAGCAAATCGTGGGAGCCCTGTGTACCCTCGCAATTCGCTCTTCAATGCGTCGATTAGCGTCGGTTCGCGTCTGGGAGTGGATGAGACAGCGCCGATTTGGCGTCGTCGAGCGCCAATTTGCATCGATTTAGCGTCGATAAGCGTCGATTTAGCGTCGATTAGCGTCGATTCGTGTCGATTTGCAAGAGCCGACAAGACGGTACGGGAGGCTTCCATGATTTGCCACCGAATTTGGGGGCCCTGGAGCCCTCTTGGGGACCTCTTGGGGCCTCCTGGTGACCTCGTCGGGCGAAAACTCGAGATGTAGGTTCGTGCTCCCTCTCTGGGCTCCTGTTTGGGGGGTTTTTTCGGGCTCCCTGGGGCCGTCTTGAGTGCCTCTTGGGCCGTCTTGGGCCCTCCTGAGGCTTTCGTGGGGGCCTCTTGGGCCCTCTTGGGGCGATCTTGGGGGCCTCTTGGGCCCTTCTGGAGCGTCGGAAGCTTGACAAGACGACTCAAATCCATCAACAACCAAAGGAAACTCAATGCTTTTTGCCTCTGGGGCTCGTAGGGGTCCTCTGGGAACCCTCTTAGGGGTTTTGGGCGGCCTCTTGGGTCATCTTGGCCCCATCTGAGAGCTGTCTTGGGCCGTCTGGGGCCCATGTTGGAGACAGCTGGGCCCGTCTGGAGCTGTCTTGGAGCCATCTTGTTCCATATGGGGCCGCCGAAGAGCCCCCGAGAGACTTTGGGTGCCGCCGTGACTGGCGCTCTTGGCCCCCGGCCTCTCTGGGGCTCCAGGCCTACTCAGAACAGTCTGCCCATCCTTCTGCGGCGCCCGGGGGGAGGCGAGAAGGGGCGGGCCTTCTTAGATGGGCTCGGAGGGCCCCCCAGCCTCCAGGGAAGTTTCCCCCAAGTCTTCCCCGAAGGCACACAGCACTCCTCAGGAGGCGCGGGGGCCTCTGAAAAGTCCCGGCGCCTTCTGAGGAGGCCTTCCTCCCTCTCGCTTCCTCCTCTCCTCGCTCGCCGACGAGTCCTGTCCCAAGCCTTCCAAACTTTTGGGGGATGGGCGCGTGGCATTGAGGGGGGTGACCGTGTTGGGGGATGGGCGCGTGTGGGTAGAGGGTTGGGCGAGAATTTTGGACGCGCACCGACGGGCGGTGAGGGGGGGGGGAGGACGCTTCGTCGGAAGGTTCAGTCGCCCCCGCAACTAATACACGTCGGTCGTTGAACGTAGGTACTTTCGGAATCCCAGATCCGAATCTACTTCTGGCGCCTTCCTGCTTCAAGAACCGATGCGCTTTTGCTGTGTTTCGTGATTCTCTTGGAGGGCCTGGACCCAATCTGCCTTATCCGCCTTCCTTCTTCATATGCTTTTACCTCCTTGTTCCGACCGACGTGTATGCCAGCCGCAGTGCTCAGAATCTGCCCATACAGTGGAAGCCCATACCAAAAAACACCCTGCTTGCTTCCAGGGTGCCCTCGGTTTCTTGGGTTTCGATTGTTTTGCTATGGAGAGCGTGACGTTCCCGCACCGAAAATCAAGGGACGTCCTGGGGTCTCAGGGTTGGGTTTCTTGCGGAAGGTGCCTTGTGGTCGAGCCCCTGCTGTGCTGTCCCGAGCCTCCCAGCCTCTTCTTGCTCTGCCCAGCTCTCGGGAGCCCAACACGCCCAGAGCCCGCCAGGGGGGGGGGGAGGCCCGCGGCAGGTTCCGTGCCCAGAGATGGCGGGAGAGCCACGGCGGGCGCCCCCCCCTCTTCGGGAAGCTATGTCTATGTCTGTCTCTCTTATGTATGCATGTATGTATGTTTGTATGTATGACTGTCTGAAGGTATGCATGTATGTATGTATGTATGTATGTATGTATGCATGCTGTATGTATGATGTATGCATGTATGTATGTCTTATGTATGCATGTATGTATGCATGTATGCATGATATGGTAGGGCATGCTATGATGTGCTGGGGCATGTCTAAATGTCTGCATGTCTGTATGGATCTAGGTACCTATATCTATACGCATACATGTCTGTATGTACGTATGTATGTATGCATGTATGCATGCATATATGTACGTATGCATGTATGTACGTACGTATGTATGGCATGGTGTGGTATGGTATGGCTGTACACTGTATGTCTGTATGGATGTATGACTATATGTACATGCATGTAGGTATGTATGCATGCATGCATGCATGTATGTATACATGGATGTATGCATACATGTATGTCTGCATGCATTTATGCATGAATGCATGCATGCATGCATGTATGTATATATGTATATATGTATGCATTCATGTATATATGCATGAATGTATGTATGCATGCATGCCTGTATGTATGTATGTATGTATGTATGTATGTATGTATGTATGTATGTATGTATGTATGTATGCATGCATGCATGCATGCATGTATGTATGTATGTCTGTACGTATGTACATCGAGATATGGACGTATGTATGCATGTAGATATGTATGTATGCATGCATTCATGTGTGTATGTACATATTCATATATGCATGCATGCATGCATGCATGCATGCATGGATGCATGTATGTATGTAGGTAGGTAGGTAGGTAGGTATGTATGTATGTTTGTATGTATGTATGTATGTATGTATGTATGTATGTATGTATGTATGTATATATGTATGTATGCGCGTATGTATGTATGTATGTATGTATGTATGTATGTATGCATGCATGCATGCATGCATGCATGCATGCATGCAGGTATGTATGTATGTATGTATGTATGTATGTACGTATGTATGTATGTATGTATGTATGTATGTATGTATGTATGTATGCATGTATACATGTATGTATGCATGCATGCATGCATGCATGTATGTTTATAGATTGCCCGCGGGCGTAGCATTTTTTTGATCTGCCGTCGAGCCGCTAGGGGGAGTAACCGGGAGAGGAGGAGCCATGCGGCCGTGCCGAAGTATCATACCTGGCATCGATCGGACGTGTGCCCTTGTCCTCGGCGGGGATCATTGAGGAGCAGCCTGCATCATCCAGAGGGAAACAAAGGCACCAAACCGATAAATGCATGGGGAATGGACGTCCGAGCGATGGCAAGAAGATCGAGCTCGGTTCGGGGAGGGCACCCTAGGGCTTCCCGTGCTTGTTCGACGTCCTCGTGCATCTTTTGGGGAAGGCACCCTCGAATGCTCTTCAGTCTGGCGGCCGGCGGAGGGTCTCATGCTCTCGGAGGGGGGAGGTTCTTCTGTCCTAGGTCCGGCCGTAACCCGCCCGCCCCGTCCAAAGTCTTGCCCCCCGCGGGGCTCATTTCGATGCCTCCGGTTCGCTTCGATTCTATTTCGGTGGCTTCCGATGCCGATCCGATTCGGCGTCGGATTCCCATTTGGGTTTAGATTTCTCAGTGGAGAACTCGCCTGCCGATTTCCTCTGATACGATTTCTCCCGACTCGGCTGCCGATTTCCGCCGATCCGATTCGTTTCGAGCGCCCATCCGACTTGTCGATTCGATCCTGGGCTCTCTTGCCCCCGCCGTGGCGCCACGCTGGTAGTCTCTCGCCCGTTTTTTTTCCCCCCCGTTTTCTTTTTCTTTTCTCTCTCTTTCTCTATCTTCGTGACTAGCCCTGCTCCTCGCCATCACCTCCCTACCATCTTCTGTCCATCTCACTCACTCTCGCGCGCGCATCCAGGTGAAGAACATCTTCACCGACTCTCTGGGGAATAACCTGAAGCGGACGGCGCCCAGCCCGCCGCGCAAGCCAGCGGCCTGCGGCCGCGTATGGTATAGCAGCGGATGTCTGGCCAGGCGTCTCTCAGACGGATGTATCCGTCTCCATCTCGATGCCCCCTCTCACCAGCGACCTCGGTTACAGCGGCTCGACGACGTTTGCTCGAAAGTGCAGAGTTGTTATGAAGAGGGGCACTGGGAGACACTTGCTCGGGATGACGAGCTCTGGAGGAATATGGAATCCATGCGCGTTCACAGGACCAACTGAGGTGCCCCAGCGCACTCTCCGTTCCTCCCACGGGACGCCCTCTGGGAGACATCGGCTGTCTTGTCCTGTTTCCTCCCCTCCTCCTTTCCTTCGGCTCCCCTTTCCCCAACCCTTCCTTCTCCTTCGCTGTTCTCCCCTTCCCTCCCGCTCCCCCCCCTCTACTCACCCTCCCCTCCCCCTCCTGTCCCCTCTCCTCTCCCCCTCTGCTCCCCCTCCCCCCCTCTGCCCCCTTCACACTCCCCCCCCCTCCCGCTCCCCTTCTCTCCCCTCCCCTCCCCTCCCCCTCATGTCCCATCCACTTCTGCCCCCCGTCTACAATTACATCTCACGAGTGCTACTCCGTTCCCCCCATGACAGCGTCCAGTGCGTGGCCCCGCTTCTCTCGGTTGTTCTCTCACGTGCAGGATCTCAAACGCTTTCTGTTTTAGATCTCTCCGTTACTCTCCACTAGGATCGTCGTCGATGTTTCGGAATCGTGCTCCCGCTGCAGCGTTGTCCGCATTTCTGGATCGGCACACTGCTCCAATCATTTGGAATGGCGCTCTCGCATCGGCGCGAGCCCCATTGTTGGATCAGACTCCTTCCTTGTCGTTACCGTTTCCCTCCTTTCCCCTCCTTCGTCTTCCCCTAGCTCTCTCGTACCGCCTACTCCCACTTCTGCTCCTCCTCCTCCTGCTCTGCTTCTTATCCACGGCTGGCGCCGTCACTTGCCCAAGCACCGTCGTCGTTGTTGTCGTCGCCGTCGCCGTCGCCGTCGCCGTCGCCGTCGCCGTCGCAGTCGCCTTGTCGTCGTCGCCGTCGCCGTCGCCGTCGCAATCGCCTTGTCGTCGTCGTCCTCCTACCCCTCCTCCTCCTCCTCCTCCTCCTCCTCCTCCTCCTCCTCCTCCTCCTCTGGAGGTTTTCGGAGGTTTTCTGAGGCCTCCAGAGGTCCAGAAAGCACCGCAGCGTCCGACCACCGATGCTCATCCGCAATGCCCTGCCGCCGCCCGCCGTCCGCGCCGGTGCCGTCGGCCGCAGGTGCAGCTGGAGTTCCAGGGACAGGTCTGCGCTGGCAATGCAGTCCTGGTGATAGAGCATGCGGCTCCGCCCGACTCCGAGGGGCAGCGGGGAAGGGGGGGGAGGAGGAGGAGACGGAGGAGGAGGAGGCGGAGGAGGGGGAGGAGGCGGAGGAGGAGGCTAAGGAGGATGAGGAGGAGGAGGCGGAGGAGGAGGCTAAGGAGGATGATGATGATGAGGAGGAGGCGGAAGCGGAGGTGGAGGCGGAGGCGGAGGAGGAGGAGGAGGAGGAGGAGGAGGAGGAGGAGGTCGACGACGGGAATGATCATAGTGATGACGAAGTCGAAGATGGCGACGAGGATGATGTTAGTGCTCATGTTTGTGACGACGGTATTGCTGATCATTCATCGTTCCGATGATTAGTGGTGGTGATGGGAAAAGTGACGGTGATGATCATGATGGTGAAGATGGTGGCAGTGGTGATGATGGTGATGATGGTGATGGTGGTGATGATCGCGCTGCCTTTCGGCCGACAAGTCTGCAGCGGTGCCCGACAGCTCTTCGCGCTCGCGTGTGCCCCGCGTCCTCTGCTTCGCCTCGCCTCGGCCCACCGCTGCCGGGCCGAGCGGCCTCCATCCAGGCCGCCACTGCAGCGATGGGGGCCTGGATGTGCTTTGTTCGCCGGTGCGGCCCAACCTGGAACTCTGCAATACTAGACAAAAGTATAAACGTAATTCTTCGACGGTCCGCGCGGAGTTCTTGGATCTGCGCTGGGCCCCCCTGGCGGCGCCTCGGGTGCCACCCTTTGCGCGCTCCGCGCGCCATGTAGGGGGGTTCTAGCGTCGACCCGAGAAACCTACGAATGCTTATTTTCACACCTCAGGTATGATCTCGCACAGCATTATTTCGGCCGACCGACCGACCGTGCCTGGGATGTGCGCTGGACAGGAATGTGTGCTGGGATGTCTGCTGGGACGTGTGCTGCCTTCGTGTGCTGGGACGTTTGCAGGGCTGTGTGCTGCCTCCGTGTGCTGGGACACGTGCTGGGATGTGTGCTGCTTTCGTGTGCTGGGATACGTGCTAGGGTGTGGCCTGGGTGCGTGCCGCCCCCGTGAGCTCTGTCTGCCCCCCCGCACCCCTCCGCCCCGTGGCCCCCGTCGGTTTAATCCGACCGACCGATCGACCGTGCCCCCCCCGCTGCCCGACCGTGCCCTCCCGCTTGCGCGCTGGGTTTGCCACTCCTCCAGCTTGGGGTGCCGCCGCCGCTCTCTTCATTGTCTCGTCCTCCTCCTCGCCCTCCTCCTCGCCCTCCTCCTCCTCGACGCTCGTCTTGCGTTGCCTCGTACCTCCTTTTGGGGCCGCCTGCCTCGTCGCCGTCGTCCTGGCCGCCTCCTCTGGGCTCTCTCAGCGCCTCCTTGCTGCCTCCTTATGGTATCGTCGTCGCTCTCCTGCCGCTGCTCCTCCTCCTCGTCCTCCTCCGCCTCCTCCTCCTCCTCCTCCTCCTCTTCCTCCTCCTCCTGGTCGCCCTCCCTCGCGTCGTCGTCCTCGGCGCCCGCCGGCCGTCCTTGTGCCTCACGCGACGGCCGCCGCCGCCGCCGCCGCCGCCTGCACCGCCGCTGCCGCCGCCAGGCGGGCTGGGGTCGCACCTGGCCGCGGCTGCTGCAGCCATTGCAGAGTGGCCCGCGCGTTCTCCCGGTGAAGGGAGATGGAGAGTCGCTGGGCCATCCTGTTCGATGTGCTGGCGGCCTTCTCCCCGCGCGCGTCGGCCGCGCGCTTGGCCAGCACGGCGAAGGCGCGGCGCGCCTGGCCGCCCCAGCTCCCGCCGGCGCTTCCACCGCCATCGGGATGAAGGTGAGGTCCGTGTCGCGGCAGGCCTGCGCCGTGCCCTGGTGCTGTCGCTTGCACTCCTTGTACCTGTCGAGGGCGGCGGCCGGGTCGGTGGTGGAGCGCGCGATGAGGTCCGCGCGCAGGCCCGACGTCACCGCGAAGTCCAGGGCGGCCGAGAGCCCGCCGCGCCACCGGGGGACATGGACATCCGCTGGCCGGCGGCCGTCGTTGTCTAGTCCGTCGCCGTCCGGCTCCTCGGCGTTCGGCACCTCGCCCAATGAACGCGGCGGCAGCAGTCTGGGCCGCTCCAGTTCCGCCCCCGAGAAGCCGGCGGCCTGGGCGGCGTAGAAGGTGCAGGTCCGCAGCTTGTTGTGGCGGCGCGTGCGGTCGCCCTGGGAGGCGCGCGTCAAGGCGTTGTCGCAGTGCGCGTCCATGACTTCCCCGCACGCCGGGCAAAATGCTTCCTCGTCGATCAGCTGGGCCCGGAGCCGTTGCTTGATCCCGATCTGCATCAGGCTGTTCGGGGCCGCTGTGCCGAGCGCCTCGCTGGGGGGCGCCTGCAGGTGCGCGCTGGCGCCGGGCGCGGACGCCAGGGCGAGGTGGGCGCGCGTCGCGGGCGAGGAGCGGCCCTAGAGGGCGGCGCGCGCAGCGTCGTCGACGCTGGCCCAACAGAGTCTTCTGGTTGGAGTGTGTCTCGCAGTCGAAGCGCGCGGTCCAGTCAGCCTCCGCCGCGCTGGCGTTGTGGGTCTGGAGCGCCGCGGTCAGGGCCCCAGCGTCACCCGCGTCGTCGTCTGTGTAACCCGCGTACATCGACGGGCAGAGCTCGCTGCTCTTGGCGCGCGAGGAGAGGTAGGCCACCGGCGTGTGCTTCTCGGCGGAGCGTCTCGGCGGAGCGCAGCCCCAAGCCGCCCTTGTTCAGCAGCTGCGCTTGGGCCCAGGAGTCGTCGGTGAGGGAAGCGCAGGCCAGCTGTTCCAGGCAGGAGCGCGCTGCGGCATCCATCTCCAGGATGGCCTCGGTGTGGGCGGAGGGCGGCGCCAAGCGCGCCGAGTAGTTAGCCGAGCTTGCAGTCATAGGGACGCTGCCAGAGAAGGTGACGAGCCACCTGCGTCCTCCAAGCCATCCAGTGCGTCCAGGAGCTCCGCTCCCTTCTTCGCTCGTTTCTGCGTGTGTTGGCGGCAGAAACCGTTGCTCCCGACGGGCGCGCCGAGGAGCTCGAAGCAGCCGTCGGAGCGCAGTCGGAAGCCCGTCGGGCAATCCGCCGCGGACGCGTTGATGTGTGCCCCCGCCGCAGGGAGAATCTCGCACTTGCCCGGCCCCGTGCTGGGGTTTAGGCCGACTGCTGCGAGATTGGCCGCGACGAGGTGCAGGAAGCGCGCCGCGGCCTGCCTGTCGGCTGCGTCGTCCAAGTAGCAGAAGACGAGGCCCAGCAGGGCGTCCTGCGCGAGCTCCCCGAGGCTGCGGCGCGCCGTCTCCGCGCAGCGTTGGAGTGCCAGAGAATAGCAGCGGGCCAAGCGGGTCGCCCTGCTGGACGCCGCACTCGGAGCGCAGCGTCTGTTTGCCGAGGAAGAGTAGCGAGGGGCCGCCGTAGCACCAGCCCGCCCAGGGTGCCAGCGTGGGAAAATCCTTGCGCGTTGCACTAAGGACGGCCGTCTGGTCCAGGGTGTTGAAAGTGATCGAGAGGTTTAATTTCACAAAGAGTTTGTCCCTGTCGTCCCGGTTGCGCGTGAACCACTGCCTGGCCACGTGGATCGCTACTGAAGAATAGTTGAACCAAAATTGAATTATCGCTATTGAACAAAAATATGGTTGATCCCCTCTCGTGACCATTGTACTTTTTCCATTGAAGTGCCTCTCCCGGGGCTCGCACCTTTTTTTATCCGGGAAAGTCATTCGGCCCAAGCTGTGCCCCTGGCCCCCGGTTTTCAACAACAACAACAACAGCTCCCGCCTGATACTTCCTCACAATATATTTCCAAATCGCGCTATTGCGCGGGATTTCCTCACAATCTGTACACGAATCGCGCTCTCGCGTGGGACTTCCTCCCAATTTATTCCGACGATGCGCTTTCGGCGCTCAGGAATCACGCTCCTGCTTTGATCGATTTCATTTTTTTAATTTTCTTTCACGATTTACTTGGGAATCGGGCTATCGCTCCAGATTTCCTCGCGATTCATGCAAGACCCACGCTTCAGCGACCCGCTTCTGCATGCCTGGTTTTACCATATGTGTTCTGTTCGTTACCCCCCCTGCGAATTTTTCTCGTGCTTCATTTTTCTCCCTCCCCCATTCACCCGCTTTTTTTCCCCAGGTTTTATGGGTTGCATTACATTGCGTACCCCCAAGGGGCACGATCGAAGACGACGAAGGCGGGTACCGAAGGCTTGGGTTATGCGTGTTGATTCGCATGTGGTCAGATAGGAGCGAACAGTCTTAAACTGATTGTTGTTGTTGTTGTTGTTGTTGTTGTGGTTGTGGTTGTGGTTGTGGTTGTGGTTGTGGCTGTGGTTCTGGTTATGGTTAATTGTTCTGGTTGTTGTTGTTGTTGTTGTTGTTGTTGTTGTTGTTGTTGTTGTTGTTGTTCTTGTTCTTGTTGTTGTTGTTGTTGTTGTTGTTGTTGTTGTTGTTGTTGTTGTTGTTGTTGTTGTTGTTGTTGTTGTTGTTACTATACATGTGTATCTGTATATTTGCCGCTTTCTATTCGTTTACTGGAGGGAGGACCCTGGGCTGTCCGACGGGCGGACGGGGGCTGCACCTGCACTGGCAGCACTCGGCGCGGTGTCGCGTACGGCCTCCGCGGCGGTGGCGAGGCCAAACGGCGTAGAGGCGGCAAGTTGCGACCACCTGCGAGCCCCACCCCTGCGGGTCCAGTCTCCGCGGGCGACTCATGTTCACCGTACCGCGCTGGCGTCTCCCAAGTCGTCGTCGATCCCCGATCCAGGAATGGTGCGGTGCACAAGGCCGAAACATTGTGCATCGTTTCCACGATGGAACATGACCAGAAGGAAAACCAAACACGGTATGACGCATGGGTGCCGTTCTCGTACATCGACGCGGCGGTATCGGACCCCCTCGCTGGGAGTCATTTGGCGGCAGACATCCTTCGAATTCTGACCCCCAGCCAGTTTTTCCGGAAATCAGACCTGCAGGGGCAGTGTTCACATGCGGTTGCCCAGGCCACAATGGGAGGAGTGGAGGAGGAGGAGGGAGAAAGGGTAGGAAGGAGAGGAGAGGAGGGAATAAAGAAGGCGGACCAGGGGATAGGGAGGAGGGACAGTACAGGATGGGGGAAGAGTAGGAGGAAAGGGAGGAGGAGGAGCAGGAGCAGGAGCAGGAGGAGGAGGAGGGGGAGAAGGAGGAGGAGGAGGAGGAGGAGGAGAAACAGTACGTAGGGAGGGGGAGCAGGAGGTGGAGCAGGATTGGATTGTCTCCATATGTAGGCAGTCCGATCGGTCCCCGTTCTTTGTTCAGTTGCGCTGCTTCGATATACGCGCTTGGCTTGTTCCTACCATGCATGGCTGTTACGTGAGTGCGGTTCGTGTTGCCCCAAGAATTGTGCAAGCATTTGACAAATATCTTGTGTTGGGTGCTCGTTTTGAATCAGTAGCGCCCCGCGTCTCTCACTTCCTTCTCCCCGCCCTTCTTTCTCTGCCCTCTGCCTTCGGCGCACCCCTCACACGTTTCGTGGCCCCACAGGGAGCTCCACCGAAGGCCCCCGTGACAGGGTTCACATGGCGCCACCCCGCCCATTTCGGCATACCCCTCACAGGTTTCATGGCCACATCGGGAGCTCCATCAAAGGCCCCTGTGGCAGTTAGCATGGCGCCCCCCCCACCAATTTCGGCGCACCCCTCAAACGCTTTGTGGCAACATGGAGAGCTCCACCGAAGGCCCCCGTGGCAGGGTTCGCATGGCGCCACCGCGCCCATTTCGGCACACTCCTCACACGTTCCCTGGCCCCACACGAAGCTCCACCGAAGGCCCTGGTGGCAGGGTTAGCGTGGCACCGCTTCACCAATTTCGGCACACTCCTCACACTCTTTGTGGCCCCACAGGGAGCTCCACGGCAGGACCCAGTGGCATGGTTCACGTGGTGCCGCTCCGCCCATTTCGGCACACCCCTCACACGTTTCGTAGCCCCACAAGGAACTCCACCGAAGGCCCAGTGGCGGGGCTTCTATGGCTGACCCCGCTCAACCTCCTACGCGTTTCGTGCCCCCCATAGGGAGCTCCACCGAAGGCCACAATAGCAGAGTTCGCATGGATTTTCGGCACACCCCTCGCACGTCTCGCGGCCTAACAAGAATCTCCACTGCAGGCCCTAGTTGCAGGGCTCGCAGGGTGCCGCCCCGCCCATTCCGGCACGTGGCACACGCCTCACACCTTGCGGTGCCTCACAGGGAGCTCCACCGAACGCCCCCTGTGGCAGGGTTCGCTTGGCGCGGCGAGCCCGTGCCATCAACGCCGCCATTCTTTTGCTGTCTTCCTCCTCCTCCGTCTCACCTGCCTGACGATACTCGCAGCTGCACATGTTTGGGTCCTTCGCCAGGATATGTTTGGGCCTTTCCAAGTAACCAGCACGCTGGAATGGCAATTTGGCAGTCCGTTCTCTGTGGGCCATCCATTAACTATCCGCTGCCGTCTCAGCTCTGGGGTCTGTTGTGTTCGTTCTATTCATGCAGGGCGAGATGGCCTGGTTGTCACAGGTATCGACCCAGGAAAGGGACGAGCATCAGTTTCACTTTTCCCCTCCTCCCCTCTCCGCATCCTCCCTCTTCTACTGCGTCCCCCTCCGCCTTCCTCCATCTCGTCCGCCTTCCTAATTTCCTCCCCTCCCTTCCTCATGCCTCTTCTCTCTTCGTTGATCCCTCCTCTTTCCTCTTCTCTCCTTCCTCTCTCCTCCCTCCTCCCTTCACCCCATGACTCATTTCTCGTCCTCGTCGTCCGCCTCCTTCTCTTCCTCCTGCTCCTTCTGCTCCTGCCCTTGGCGGTGCTGCTCCTCTCTTGCTCCCCCGCCACGATGGGAAGGCCGAGCGCCTGGCGTTCCGCGAGCTCTTTTTCCACGCCAGAAAAGTGACGGAGGAGATTCCGAGTGCCCAGCTCAGAGCCGCCGCGAGCGCGCCTGGCCGTGCGGCACCGCTTTTTCCAGGTGGGTGCGCGTGCACGTGCAAGAGCAGGGACACGTGCGCAGGTGTTCCAGGTGCAGTTCCAGACGTACGCGCCGTTGATGCAGTAACAGAGGCATTCCTGCCCAGAGACCCAACGCCACAATAATGTGCGACGTGCGCACTCGTTTTGCAGACTGGTGGTTTGTTCCCGACCCTCCCGCGTGAAGTTGGGCCTTTGTTTTTCCCCCATGAGGCTTTGCTGACGGCACTCTTTTGTCAGAGGAACTGGTGGGTGCGTGGCCTTTCGTCAGAGAAGGCCCCCGGCGTTCCCCGGGGTCGTTTCCCCGGGTTGCCCGGGGTTGCCTGGGGTTAACCGGTGTTGCCTAGGCCTGAAATGACAAGAATTGCCAAGCAACGCCAAGCAACGCCAATCAACGCCAAGCAATGCCAAACAATGTTGCCTGGGGGTGCCAAGCAATGTAGAGCAATGCCAAGCAATACCAAGCAATGCCGAGCAATGCCAAGCAATGCCGGGCAGTGCAAATCACTGCCAAGCAACGGAAAACAGCGCCAAGCAACGCCAAGCAACGCCAAGCAACGCCAAGCAACGCCAAGCAATGCCAAGCAATACCATGCAATGTCAAGCAATGCCCAGCAATGCCAAGCAATGCCAAGCACTGTGAAACATTGCCAAGCAATGCCAAGCAATGCCAATCAATGCCAAGCAACGATTCCAGTCAACGCCAAGCAATGCCACGCCAATGCCAAGCATACGAAAGAAAGTCAAGCAATACCAAACATTGTCACACAACGCCAAGGATCACCAAGCAATGCCCAGCAGCGTTTTCAAGGAACGCCAAGCAATGGAAAACACTGCTACTGAATGCCAACAATAGCAAAGCAGTATTTTGAATTGCTCACAGCAGCCTTTGCTTGCCCTTCAGGAAAGACGACCTCTAATTTGGGGCGCGCTGGGTTCATGAATCAGCAGCGCGAGCGTCTCAGTCCTTCTCCTCTTCTTCCTCCGTGGGCGCCGTCGCATGGCGTACGCGCCCTCGCTTCACCACACGCCTACGCCTTGCACGTTTCATGGGCCCGCCTACGGTCTGAGTAGGCGCCGTTGTATGGCGTACGCACCCCCGCTTCGGCACACTCCTCGCAAATTCCGTGGCCCTTCAGTCAGGAGGTGAAGAAACACACAGACAAACTTAATTATTGACCCTTAGGAATTATGGGAAAATATGGGATGTGTGGGGGGGGGGGGGAGGACGAAGCTCCAAGAACTATGAAAAACAAATGGGGAACTCTGGGATTCGCGTGTACTTTTTGTGTGTTCCTGAGTCCCTTCATACAGGGAGTTCCACCTACGGTGTCAGTGGGCGCCGTCGTATGGCGTACGCGCCCCCGCTTCGGCACACCCCTCACGCGTTTCGTGGCCCCATCGGGAGTTCCACGTACGGACAAGATTGCATTCGACAACACATGCACTGAGCCACAATTTTGTACAGGCAAACTGCCGATGTTCTTTGCAGCTCCTCACTGCACGCGAATTCCAACAGTGTCTGCTGTCATCGGCCTCGGCAGAAAGCTCTGGGCAGGTCGCTACAGAGGCTTGCGCTAGAATCGCTCCAACGCTGGGTTCTTTCGCAACGCTCCACGCACGACGCGATCCCGCCTGCCGTGCGGGATCGTTCTGTGCCGTGCCATTGTCGCGCCCTGCAGAGATGGAGGGAAAGATGGAAGAGGGGGAGGGAAAGAAGCAAGAGGGGGAGGGAGGGATCCTCCTCCCCGGGAGACCCCCCCCTGGGAGTGACCGCTGTTTCAGACGACGGGCCAGCCTTGGGGGAGCCGCCCTGTTTGAGGGCCGCCGGGGGAGTCTGCCGGCTCCCGATTATCGAGCGCCCACGGTACAGACCAGCGCGCGTTCGAAACGCATGCTCCGAATTTGGAGGCAGAGCGTGTTTTGTATGGTTTTTCACAAGGGATGGTGGGGGGGGGGCCCGCATGGTCTCGGGTTGGCTCTCAGTCGCCTGGGGGAGGGGGTGTATATTAATAGGGGGCCGTCGAGGTCTGGGGTTTGCGGTCCAAGCCTCCCGATGGTCTCGGCGGCCTCGCCGGTGCCCGGCTGCATGGCTCTTGGAGTGTTCTCCCCCTGCGCCCAAACTGTTCCACTCCAGCTTTTCGCCCGTTCGCCTCCTCTTCCCCTTTGGTCTTCTCCCCCTTCTCTCTCCCCCTTCTTCCCCTTCTGCCCCTTCCTCCCCTTCTCCACTTCTCCCCTTTTTCTCCTGCGCCTCCCCCTCCTCTTCCTCCTCCTCCTGCTCCTCATCCCCCTCTCCCCCTCCCCCTCCTCCTCCTCCTTCTCCTCCTCCTCCACCTCCTCCTCCTCCTCCTCCTCCTCCTCCTCCTCCCTCTTCCCCTCCCCCCTTCCCCCAGACTCTGTCTGACCGCTTCCCCTCCTCCCCTATCTCGCTTACCCCCATCAACGTCCCCTCCTTCCCTCCTCCGCCCCCTCCTGCTCCCCCTCCCGCCCGCCCGGCCGCTCTCTTGGGCGCCACCTCTTTCCCTTTCGGGGGGCAGCATGGATGCAGAGGGAGGGGAGCGGGTCGCACGCACCTCCCGCTCGTCCAGCAGCCTCCCCCGTCTGATGCTGAGGCTCCGAGCCCGCTGGCGACCAGGACGCCCGCATCATCCGCTCCTCGCGCGCGGGCTCTCTGATGCTGACTCGGAGGTCCTATTGCTGTCTGCGCTCCGTCCCTGGTAACCGCGAACCGCCGTCATATCGCAAAGGCCTTGCGGCCGCTGCCGCCGACCCTGAGTGGGGGACGACGACGACGACGATGCCTAAACACATTCAAAAGCTTTAGGAACATCTTTGATTCCTTTCGCTTCGCCGGGTGCACGTCCGGAGCACGTAAAAACTGGATGTTGGGTGGTTTGCCCCGTTAGTTTGCAGCGCTGTTCTGCCATGTCGTTCTTCCCGCCCGGGGCGCTGCCATCGCCGCGGGGGGCGGATGCCCTCCCCCCCCTGCCCTGGTTTCAGCGCTGGGACGAGCGTGCGAATATCCACGAGGGCAATGAGCATTCACCGCGTGTCAGCACAAGGCAACGTCAAGTTCATCCGATTAGCATCGCAATAGCGCGCCATTCGAATGTAATCCCGCGGGCCTTTTGGTGGTTTCTTGGGGCCGTTTGGGGGCTTTTTGTTTGCTTTTTGGAGGCTTCTTGGCGGCCCCCTGGGGGCCTCTTTGGGGCTTCTTGGGGCCTCTTGGGTGCCGTCTTGGGGCGCCATTGCGCCGTCCAGCCCTTTCGGCCGTCGTGCGGGCCTCTCGGGGCCGCCTTGTGGCTCTCTTGGGGTCCTCTTTGGCTGTCTTGGGGTCCACTTTGGGGCCATCTTGGGGCCGTCTTGGGCCGTCTTGGGCCACCTTGGAGGCTGTCATGGACCGTCATGGGCCCCCAGGAGTCGAGAAAGGCGAGAACGCGAACATCTTTTCTGGCCTCTGGAGGTGCTCTCGGGGGCCCCCTTGGCGCCTTCGGGGGCCGTCTTGGAGGCCATCTTGGGCCGTCTTGGGCCTCGGGGGCCGTCTTGGGTCTGGCTTGGGCCGTCTTGGGGCCATGTTGAGCCGTCTGGAGGCCCTTTTGGCTGTATTGCAGCATCGGTTGATGCATCTTGGGTCTACTCTGGCACTCCTCCTTCTCCTTCTGCCCTTTCTCCTCCTCCTTTTCCTTTCCTCTCCGTAGCCATTTCTTCGCAAGGAGCCGTCCGGCCCCAACAGCATTCCCGCTGAGGCGCCGACCCAGAAGCAGCCAAGCCGACTGCCGCTTCGCCTGAGAACCATGGCGGAGTCCAAGGTCAAGGACATGGGCCTGGCCGAGTTCGGCCGCAAGGAGCTCAGCCTGGCGGAGCACGAGATGCCAGGCCTCATGGCGGCCCGCAAGGAGTTCGGCCCTAAGCAGCCCTTCAAGGGCATGAACATCAACGGCTCGCTCCACATGACCATCCAGACTGGCGTCCTGATCGAGACGCTGCACGCCCTGGGAGCGAAGGTGCGCTGGTGCTCCTGCAACATCTTCAGCACCCAGGACCACGCCGCCGCAGCGATCGCAAAGGCCGAGACCTCCACCGTCTTCGCCTGGAAGGGGGAGACGCTGCAGGAGTACTGGTGGTGCACCGAGCAGATGATGACTGTTCCCGGCGCGGACGGCTGCGACCAGCTCGTCGACGACGGCGGCGACGCCACCCTCTTGATCCACAAGGGCAAGGAGTTCGAGGAGAAGTTCGCCAAGGACGGATCTCTTCCCGATCCTGCTTCGACAGACAACGCTGAGTTCAAGTGCATTCTGCAGCTCCTCAGGGACTCGATCCCGGCTGACAAGACAAAATATAGCCGCATGGCTGCCAAGTGCAAGGGTGTCAGCGAGGAGACCACGACTGGCGTCCACCGGCTTAAGGAGATGGCTGCGAAGGGCGAGCTCCTGTTCCCGGCCATCAATGTGAACGACTGCGTGACCAAGTCCAAGTTCGACAATGTCTACGGGTGCAGGCACTCGCTGCCAGATGGCATCATGCGCGCCACAGACGTGATGATCGGGGGCAAGCGTGCGCTGATCTGTGGTTATGGTGATGTGGGCAAGGGTTGCGCGTTCGCCATGCGCGGTGCTGGTGCCAGGGTTCTGATCACTGAGTGCGACCCCATCTGTGCGCTCCAGGCATGCATGGAGGGCTTCCAGGTAGTTACGATGGAGAGCGTTGTCGGTGAGATCGACATCTTCACGACCACCACTGGGAACTTCAAGATCATCACGCTGGAGCATATGAAGAAGATGAAGAACAACGCCATTGTCGGCAACATCGGCCACTTCGACAACGAGATCGAGATGGAGAATCTGGAGAAGTTTGCAGGCATCAAGGTGGAGAACATCAAGCCGCAGGTGGACCGCTACGTCTTCCCCGACGGGCACGGTATTATCGTCCTGGCGGCTGGGCGGCTGCTCAACCTCGGCTGCGCCACTGGACATC